CATGAGAAGGTACTGTGTTGATGTCCAGGTCGTCAGTATAGTCACTGATAAGACGAAGAACATCAAGAGCGTCTGGCGCGTCTCGCTTCGTAGAGATCTGCGTAGCAAAATGAATAGGGAAATTATACTCGTTGAGGTCTGTGGGCGATATGAGAGGTACTGAAGCAAGTTTTGGCTCGGCACGCAACAATGCGGCAACCACATCCAAGTCTTGGAAGTCAATTGCCTGCATGAGCGCGGTCATGCCAGTTTCTGACGATGCAGAAAGTGACTGAAGCTTTTGAATCATCTGCACCGTTTTGTCGAGCCTGGTTGTACACGCCTCACCATGCATTGCGAGCCTTTCAAGAGAAGTAGAGAAGCTGAGAGCGCAGCCCAGAGGACCCCTGTCAATAAGGCAAGTAAGTCATCGTTCAATGAGTCGACAAGACTTCCGCTGAACTTTTTCGCCATGGTCGTGGCGTGGATCAGGTTCCAATGGCTTTCGGGGTTGCGGCTGGCATGGACGAATGCCCCGGCGGCCAAGAGGGCCTTTGCGGTATCTTCTCGCCCACCGAGGCAGGCGAGGTATTGTGGAACGACGCCACTCCTCGTCCGGGCTTCGAGGTCGAGGTGAGCACCCGCACTGAGAAGAAGGCTAATTTCCTCCCCCGTGCATGTCATCGCCGCGAGGTGCAAGGGCGTCAACCTGTCTGATGTGGTCTTGGTGCTGGACTGCGCCTTGATGAACGGGTTGGCCAGTGCGGAGGCCAATCCGAGGGGCAGGATCCCCATCAGGACACGATGCAGCTCCGTGAATCCGTCTTCCTCGAGCTGCGCTGAGATTGGCATCATCTCGGCTATCTGGCGGTCGCAGACTTTGCCTCCTAATGAGCGCAGGAGTGCGTAGCCCACGGGCGTTTCTCCCGTGTCTAGTGTGGGCTGGAAGGGATCCGCCCCGGCCTGCAGCAAGACCCGCACCATGTCGACGTTTCCCAGCCAGACGGCAAGAACAGGGGCGAGTGCCCGTAAAAGTCTTCCATGACGTCGTGGACGGATGAAGGCCTGAACATGATCATTCCCTTTGTGCCCTCGATGTCGCCGGCAGCAACCTTCCCGAAGATGCTATGGATGAGGGATGTTTGATCGGGTGGTACCACTCGATGCACTCGCAGCAGTAGCTCTGGGCTGTCGCGCTGTGAGAAAATAGCACCGTCATCATGGCTCTCCAGGCCAGCCACTGCGGGAACAAATATTGAATCAGGACCCATTTGCGCGGCCGCCGAGGGCTCCTGCACGACCCAGGCTCGGTACATGACTCGCCGCCTTGCTCTCCACGCGTCAGCCAGATTCCCGAGCACGAGATGTTAAGAGACCCCAGGGCATATTTTCAGCCCCGAGAACCGCCTGGTCATGTTGCGGGTTGTTGAGTGGCATTGACATCCGCACTGAGAGCCACAGAGCGACCAGGGAGCGTGCATCGAGGCTACGGTTGGATGGAGAATACTACCAGCCCGGCGGGAGTCACCCATGTTTAGAAGGTCCTTTGAAGAACGCCGCCTTTTCATCTCTTCTGTCCGAATCACGTTTCGCTGCTGAAGCTCGAGTATGCTGTTCTCAAATCGGGCTGACATTGCTGAAAACGACTCCGCAAGTCTCTCCTCTATGGTGTATCTCGACTTCTCAACGGCCTTCTTGATTTACTCTTCGGACGACTGCACTGCCCGGGTGAGCTCAGTAACGATGCCGCTGCACTGAGACTCTTCGCGAATGTCCCAGTTGGTTGCAATTGTCGTGGAGACTTGTCTAGTGGTTATTTCAAGATGAAATGTTCAATTTTCTCAACTAGTCACGACAGTTCGGGCAATGTAACATTTACTTACATGTTCAGTAGAGTCAGATGCAAACCAATATCGTCAGTGGTCGTACGCAACAGTTCCCGAAGCTTTTTGACTCTGTCCAGTCTTCGTATCCACAGGACCTTTCTTCTCTTATACAGTTCGAATTGGCCTTCTTTGTGGCGGTGCAGTGTTATTGTGCTGCTGGATAGACCGGTGGTGCGACAGCTGCCAACCAGTTCGGCCAAGATGGGTTCTATGGCCTCTAGTACGGTGGTGCCTCGAGAAAGCAGGGCATTCAACTCTTGCTAGATGGCGGGTAGTCTAGATTGGGGGTTGTCTTCTTAGTTAGTACTGCCGAGCGGCGGCGGCGTCATGATGCTACTATCCTAGAGAGCTTCGAAGAATGCTCTTGAGGAGGCAAGTTCGTCTCGGAGGGGGTAAACATCTCGCGGTGCGTCTTTCCACAGCTCGCAGAGTTTTCGGGCCTCCAGGGTTGCGCATGTCGTAACTCGGACGACTCCGAGAATTGCAGCTGTTATCTCCATAATTACCTATGGTTCTCTACCTGACATCAAAATGATATCTTGGTTATGAAGAACGAGGTGAGACTGGACACACGTTCAGGGGTGAGGAAGCAAAAAGAGAGGATGTGTATTATAATATAATGTACAAAAGGAACCCTCGGAGGTGGAGATAGTGTTGAATCCGCCAGCAAGGTAGTGCGAATTTCCCTTCAGGTTATCGAAGCTTCCACCAGTGGTTTTATGCACAGAGTCCATCCTGCAGTAAGGCAACTCAACTTCATCCCCAGACCTCCCCCTATTTCTCAAAGTGTCTCTGTCAGGCCACTCACGCTGGCAAACGTCATTTCTCTTACAGAAGGGACAGTAGCATTGAAGCAGCAGCAGCAGTTGCGAGGGGGGTTGAACACATGTAAATGTGTTGATACATGTGCATATATGCATAAAAGCGGGAGAACATGGAACCTATATGCATGCAGGTTAGTGGAGATTAGAATATCCAGTCACAAGAAATGTATGAACCAGGGACTACGATAAGAATCGAAATGAGCGAATCATCTAGGGAGTAGGCAGTCCTTCAGCTTCCCACTAGTCCCCAAAGAGGACGCAAGAGATGCCGTGCAACTCTCACTTTGATGTGCCTCGAGGCTTAGCTTAAGCAAGGCAATTACTGAGAACAAATGCGGTAATTAATGCACTGCGCTAGTTTCTGTTTCTCGTTTTATCTGGCTGCCGCTGCTCTACCACAACTCGACAGTTTTTGGTTGTCAACCAGTTTCGGCCCGTATATACACGCAAAGGAAGTCTCGCTTTCTTCCAGCTACTCTTTACCATCCGACTCCCCGCAGCCTTGTCTAGGCGGGAAAGACTCTGGTATACCTCAGAGCTAAGCTGGGAAGAACTATCCCCCGCAGTGATGAATGGCATGGCCCTCTCACGGCGGTCTCAATGATGACGCTTATTCTGATAGACCTACAATCCATTCGGCCCGCCTGACCGCCACGACTTGTCTATTTTGAAGAGCCAAACCTAGTCGAATTTTGAACACTTTTCATTTCTTTTTACAACATTCTTTAGTATTTAGGACTACAAGCTCTACCGCTCGTCTGGCACCAATGAACCAAACACCACAAGCCAACATGCGCACCGGTGAGGGTAAGTTGAGAAAGTGGTCAACGATGGGCATTACAAGAAGGTTTCCAGCAAATAGATAACACCATTCATGTCTTCATCTCGTCACAGAGTTAGTCATTTCCACTATCGTGGGGCTATAATTAGTACCGAGACACACACAATGATGGTCAGGGATGGCGTTTCAGCAATACTATCTGCATCAAGTGTGGCAGCTAACTAATGTACTGCAAGCTCAAGGTGGTATTGCAAACGATGGATGGGACAAAAGGGGTGTCAATCACCACATGTACTAACTAGCTAGCGGCAGAATGGGTCTGGACGGGATAATGGGTGGGATAGATTTACAATCTGCGTAAGTTGGCCTTCGATACCACCTACCTAAGTGAAGCCGCAAAGTATAGACTGTCGCAAGGCTCTGAGGGGGAAAAGATCCAAACAAAAGGAGTGGTTTAGATTGGCTACTCAAATAGTTGGTTGCACCTTCTTCAATGCAACCATGCCCCCAAAGTAAACAACCGAGGTAAAAGATTTGCGTGGTGCAATAGTAAAGACAAATAAAAAGTCCACAGTGCACAATGCACCGCGTAAAAAAAAGACAATCACCTTGCGAAAAACCAAAAAAGTATGTCACTTTTGCTTTCATGCACCAAGACCTTTCTTGAGAATAAGGTCGAAGGTGTTTGGTAATAGCAAGGTGTTTGTAACGTTCTCTCTTGGCACGAAGAATTATTCCTTCAACAACTGAGCTTGGGGAAGAGCTTGATGCTGTACACACTAATGCCTGACTTTTGGGGGAAATGAAGGGGATCTTAGAAGAAAAGAAAGCTTGAGAAAAAGAAAGAGTCTGAAATATTCGGATACGGGGAGTCGAACCCCGGGCTGCTGAGTGAGAGTCAGCGATGTTACCGCTACACCATACCCGATTGCTTTTTTTGCTCAAGCAAGATTGTTGACTCGGTTTATTGGGATTCGGTCTAGTTTTGTGGGCATAACAAGGACGAGGGAGAGCGGGAAGTGGAGGCGAGGTGACGTTTCTAATTTCTTGGCACGTGCAGGGGAGGAGCCCGTTAACTTTGTCCCCACGGCAAGGCCCTATTCCTTACTTAGTTACTAACTTGTTAATCGTAGTTAATTGTAGAAATAAATGGAGAAGATGTTTATAACTTCTTTACTATCAAGTTATAACTGTAATACTGCAAAGAGAACGAAGAACTCTCTAACGGCATTGAGCAAACCCTACTTCTTTATATTAGATTATTGAGTTCACACGTTAGGTGAGATCGTTTGTCCTAGACAATGACCTTAAGTCATTTTTATCATTTTCTATTTCATCGAAGCGGCGCAAACCAACCCCCCCCCCCCCCCCCCCCCCCCCAAAAAAAAAAAAGTTTCCACAAAAAGAATACCTGTATGTCTCATACGTTTTGAACATTGTCATCAATTAATAATCAGGGTTAAAAAGCTCTTTAGTTCAGGTTGTAAGTGAATCATCGACACACTAGCTAGACATCCCCCTTTAAACAAACGAAGCGGGCCGGATTTGAACCGATGCTCCCGAAGGAACAAGATTCTGAGTCTTACGCATGAGACCACTCCGCCACCACTCCATAATTGCAAGGATGTCTTCCTCATTTCAATGATTTGCTTTGGCGGGTAATCTCGTTAGTCAACAGGCGTGCCGTCAAATTTTGCCAGGGGTGGTCCCAATTCAACGTGGATCCGACCATGTGGAGGGGAAGAACTTCGTCATCCGTCTCCAACAGAAAGCATCGATCTAGAATTTATAGGAGCTGACATGTATATCACCAAGGAATGGTTGGAATAATAAAAGAGGTTCTTGGTTTGTAGATCTTCAGACCCGCAGCAGTTCGATATGACTAAAAGTGTACAGAAATGACCCCTGTCATTACGCGCTAGAAACCCTTTCATGGAGCCTAGTTTTGGCCGCAAACTCAGCAACCAGGTCCTTGTAGTCCTCAGGCCCGTATGGACTCGTTGCTTCGGCCAGCCATCCATTTTTGCGATGCACCTCCAAGTCGAGGTCGCGAAGCAGAAGATCAACATATGGCAGCGCGTCAAACACAAAATCAGGGAACTGAGAGCCATGTCCAGCCGGATACCGCCATTTTCCAAAGCGGGCATAAAGCACCGTCTCGTAGCGAAGGTCATCGATCGTTTTTGCCTCTTCAGCGTCGTCGGAACTGCCAGCCAAGGGAGGCAACACCCGAGTCGAGATCTGGTTGTTGAAATAGGCGCTGATCCACACCGACTGCGCATGCGCGATGACTGAGGTATTGAAGTTCATCAAAACACCAGCAAATGCGATATCCCGGGCTTGTAGGAAGCGAGCCGATGGTGGGGCGATGAAGTGGTACAGAGTATAGGGGGTGAGTGGGGTGGACGGGTTGATCTTGTCGGTTGTCGACAGGCCCTCAGTAGCGAGCAGCGGCTTCATATTCTTATTCTGGATGGGTTGGTCCTTGAGCCTTGGGAACCGAGCGAGGATCTCTTGGTCAGCTTTGCTGACTGCCTTTGGCGTAAACAATGGCTCGTCCCCTGGGGTGTGCGGGAGACCAAGCTCCCTCTCAATGCCCTCCGGGAGAAACTTGATGGGCGAAAGGTGTTTCCACCCTGTAGCACAGTTGAGGGCGTCCGTCTCGATCTCAGTTCCGTTTGAGAGGTGGACTGTTTGCTTCGAAAGGAGTGTGATATCGGCAATGTGGACACGGATGCTCCCGTTCTTGACCAGCTCAAAGAAATCACTCGGGTAGTTCAAGATGGAGAAGGACGAGGCGGTGAACATGGCTTCAGACCACGGCTTGAGCTTCTTGACCTCAGGATGCGCATCATATTTGTTCAAAGTGATCACGTCGCCACCAAGAATTCCCCAAAACGTGTTCGTGATGGCGCGGCCGATTACCGTGCCATGGTAGAAGCCCCGGGTGCCGGTATAGCCGTCAGCATCGCCCCAGATGCAAGGGCTGAACCATGTGAGCATCCGGGTATCTGGAAAGTATCTGGTCAATATGAACTCCTAGACCAAGCCTGGGGCAGTTGAAAAGGTGCATTGCACTTACGGACAAGCTTCTCGAGCCACTTCTTCAAAGGGGTGACGTATGGCGGTGCCATCCAGGCGGGGCCATGTCCGCTTTCTGCAGAGAAATGAGGTTAGGCCTTTTTGCAAAACGATAGAATAACGTTGAATGGTGCATGCTCACCACGGATGACCATGTCCACCTTCACGCCCTTCGAGGCGTAGATATAAGCAGCGTCCCAAGCTGACTTCGTTCCGCCAAAGACGGTCACCGACTTGGCCGAGTCTAAAGTATCGGCATGCTTTAAGAAATCTCTCCCGTGGAACAAGGGAACTCCAAACTCCTCTTGACCCTCAAAGTGAGGCAGGAACGGTTCCGAAGTCAGACCAGTCGCAAAGACGAGCTTTCGGGCCAAGATCTTGGTCTCGACCTTGCCGCCGTCTTGCACAGTCAAGATCCATCCGCCATTGGGACCTTCTTGGTGCTCGGCGGTGAGAACCTTGTGCTGGTAGCGAATCTTGGGCGCAATGCCGAACGTCTCGGCATATTTGGTCAGGTACTCGTGGACAACGGCACCAGGGACAAATTCACCAGGCTTCACGCCAAAGGTCTCAGTATCCATAGGAAAGTCCGGGTAATCATACGTGCCGAGCATGTTGTTCGTCTTGAGCCCGGGATACAGTCTGTCCTTGGCCCAGACGCCGCCAAGACTTGAGTTCGCCTCGAGAATGGCGATCACCTTGTCCGGGTTCAGTTGGTGAAAGCCCTTTGCGGCGGCGAGGCCAAAGACACCTGTTCTGCGGGGTTAGCCAGCAGGTTGTGAAAAGGATTTATCCATCATGCAATGCTTACCTGCTCCAACGACGACAACATCCAAAGCCTCCATGGTGTCACGACGTTGAGTACTGAATTCCAGCGAATTGAGTGGCAGTGCGTGTGTCGTCAGTCTTTTTGAGGCTCACTGTAACAGCCCCGCAGTTGTCTTACTCGTTTGCTCGACCAGACTTCAATTGCTTGCTTGGGGTGGTAATTCCCGGGTTGCTGAGCAGTTTAATCCGAGGAAGAAGGACGGGCCGATGGCGGACGGGAGAAGAGCGAGACATGGTCGACCACCCCCTACAATTGGCTAGTGAACTGCAGGCTCAGACAGACAGATACCATACTGCATACGGAGTAAATGCGCGTGCAGCATGTTCGACGCAGACGAGTGAATCCTTGTGCATGTGGCAGGGGGGTGAATGAAGTGCAGAAGCGACACTAGGGCCTGGGCCACCAGCCGCCTAGGAATCGTCTGCACCAGGCGTTCATGATGTGTGCTACAGACTGCCGCCACAAACGTGTCAGCACCAAAAGGAATGAAAGCATTTCGTGCTTTCGGTGGGGAATTTCTCATTGAGCCCATTTCGTCGCCCTGGATATCAGTCCGAGGCTTGCGAATCCCAGAAAGTCTTCCCGAGTCCCGCCTTTGGAGGCACAAAGCACAACGCTGTGCAACCTGTCTACGCCCAATACCGGTAGGAGTCGAGCACGAACAGCCTGTTGCATAGCAGCATGCATTTTCGTTCTTGTTCTTGCTGATTGATGATCTCCTATTCAGATGTTGAGAACGCAGGCTCGTCTCGAATCACTGTTTAGGGCTAGGAGGTTGCCAAGGCAGCTAGGGCTCTGCAACAGGCCTGGTCTTATCTCCAATCGCCTGACGGTTTTAGGAAGCATTGGGAGGGGACAGGCAGAGCTAGAGGGCGACTCAGGCGAGGCCTTTTCCCTCTCCCCAATGAAGACACCACCACCGGCTGAGGCGACACTCACGACGGGAGAAACCTTGCACACACCATTGATGCAGGAGAGCTCGACTCCATCCCACATCCGACGGGGATTAAGTGCACAGATTGATGCAGGTACAGTTTACACGGACGGGAAAGAGAAAGAGACAATGGAAAGAACCATTGTTCGTTTGTGGTTGTTCGTTGCGGTGGACGCACATAAGCTGACCGTTGAAATGGCTCGCCTGACGGGCGTTCGACAAAAGAAAAAGCAAAAATGGGCGGGACTGGGGGTCGCCGATGCCGCCATTGTCATTTGTCGGCGCCGAGCGAACTATTGACATTCTTTGCGATGCAACGAACCAAGTTCGTGGGTGTGTGGATGAGTGGTCCTCAAATTTCATCCCCCCGTCCTTCCTGCCGTGCCACAGGCTTGCATCAATCTGTGGGGGCAGGGAGAGCCCTGGAGATCCTCCCGCTGATGGTGGCTGACTGTGTCTTCCCAAAGACGATTTTCTCCGTCAGCGACCGTGCCACTCACCATGCAGCTCGGTTCCGTCGCAACTGCCAATCTTTTGACTTTTCACGTGCTTCGCAGGAGTCGCGGCTTCCAAAGTAGCTCGCTCGAGGGACGCGCTTGCACGACAGTTGAATCTCCCGTTTCATGAATCAGAAAAATGCTCACACTTTGACGTAGCTACCCCGCTTTTGCCAGCGTCTAGTCAACCACCAGTAGCTTTCCAATTGGGACGGAACTGAACCGTGCTTACGAGACAATGGCGAGGATAAGAAAGTACACTATAATACCAAACCGGCCACTTGAACCGTGCCCGATTTCTCATGACATTGGACAGCCGAACGGCATTTTTGCCCGGTTCTCGCGATTTCCAACCTTGTCGCTTCGGCCCAATCACCCGCAGAAGCCTCGCCAAGTGTTTGCCCTCGCGTGTGTCACAGTGGTATTGGGACACCGCCGAGCTGCAGGCTTCTTAGGCGACCACTCCATTGAATTCCAATAAACCCAGAATGGTGTGCCTGCCCCCTGCTCTCTTGTCAGCGTCGGTTTGACCCATCCACCACTTCTTCGTCAACCTGGACATGTGTGTGTGTCCTGCATATCAGCAGCAAACAAGAAAAAACGGCACTTCTCCGTCGATCTTCTAGACGAGTCCGAAGAAAGCCGAGGTGGTTTCCCGTCCGCCATTCTGCGTGTTTGTGGCAAAGCAGTGCCGGTTTTCTTTTTGAACCAAAGATTTACTTCATTGATCCCACATCGATCGGGAGCTCCCGTCCTTGTCTCGTTAGTTTCGTTTTTTATTTAACTACCAGCAGCCACAGACGGACTGAGAACGTGGGATTATTATCTTTGCGTGGTCTCGAAGCACTTAGCTGGCCACCTGATAAGCAGCATTCTTATCCCCAGGGCTAAATTCCAAGTGTGTTTTGGCCACTGCACTAAAAGTGTGACGCCCCCCTTTTTATCTCTGTCTTTTCCATCCATCACCTCAGCTCAAAGGCGAGGGCAATATCCAATTCTTTTTCATTCGCCTTTCTGAGCTCAAGCTTGGTCGGGAAGCTAATGGGACGCATGATGTTATCGCGCTGACCCGCTCCTCCTTCTCCCGCATCTTCTTCTTTTGCGCGTTTGTTTGCACCGCGGAATTTCTCTAGACATGTTGCTTCTTGGCGAAGATCTTCATCACTCTTTTTCGGCATACTTTTAATATACTGCAGTCGCCCTATTTTCCTAACATTTTTCTCTTCTACTTTGCTTGCCCCTTTGGGCCTTGATACGCCGACATGGACGCG